CGTAATAAACCCGTGATGATAAATCAGATACAGTGAATATATGAAGTTCATATATTTTGAACTGCGGTTGTAGATACGTATGATGCACGATCCTCGCAGTAGAGAGCGCTATTTATGCAATAGCGAAAATCAGACCTGAAAAAAATCAGGCCTGTACGGGATTCGAACCACTGACCTCTGCGATACTAGTGCAGCGCTCTACCAATTGAGCTAACAAGCCAACTGGGAGCAGGCCGTTAAGTTGATTCGTAATAAACCCGTGATGATAAATCAGATACAATGAATATATGAAGTTCATATATTTTGAACTGCGGTTGTAGATACGTATGATGCACGATCCTCGCAGTAGAGAGCGCTATTTATGCAATAGCGAAAATCAGACCTGAAAAAAATCAGGCCTGTACGGGATTCGAACCACTGACCTCTGCGATACTAGTGCAGCGCTCTACCAATTGAGCTAACAAGCCAACTGGGAGCAGGCCGTTAAGTTGATTCGTAATAAACCCGTGATGATAAATCAGATACAATGAATATATGAAGTTCATATATTTTGAACTGCGGTTGTAGATACGTATGATGCACGATCCTCGCAGTAGAGAGCGCTATTTATGCAATAGCGAAAATCAGACCTGAAAAAAATCAGGCCTGTACGGGATTCGAACCACTGACCTCTGCGATACTAGTGCAGCGCTCTACCAATTGAGCTAACAAGCCAACTGGGAGCAGGCCGTTAAGTTGATTCGTAATAAAATGCAATGTTGGGAAACAAAGCCTTAGCTGATTTCTGTTAGATCTTGTTACCTAGCCGTGGGAAGAACTGTTTCTGATTGGAAAGTTGTGGATGTCGTCAAAACAAGTCAAAGCAATCTACGCTAAATCTCACTTTTATTCATTCTTTACGGATAAATTCTGCGGCTAAGGGTAAAGGTAATATGCAGCGATTCAAAGTGAGACGGGCTTGAGAAGAATTTGTAAAGGAGATGATGGAGAAATCATCTATAACAAGCGGGATTTCGAACGCGCGCAAGGGCACAGAAGATGAAATTGCGTGGATGAAATTGCCCGAGCTAGCGGACGATAGGATGGCCTTGAGGACAGCAAAGAAGACGATGAATTAACACTCATTCTTGAAGTTATCACTTAACAAAATGGCTCCATTCAAATAAAAGTGATTGGGTAACTATAATTTTTCGTAAGACTATTAATTTGTGTAAGTTGAAGATCGCGCAGCTTTTAGCGGAATATACATTAGATTTGCAGTATTCTCTCGTAAGAATTTTGTTTTTTTAAAGAAATACTCAGGCGTAAGCCGAACCCCCTAGTCTTGTTAACGTTCGATTAGTTCTCAGTGTATTATAGTACATTTCGAGCCGGAGGATTTCTCAACCGATCGGCTCTCTCGTATCTTCCATTACAGACGGCGATTTGAGAGAGTCAGTGCATTCTTGGCTCTTTTGAAAACAATGGCCTTCTTTAAAATTTAACATGAACTCGGTGCACCGATGGCCAAAACAACACCTACTAACATTCGCAAGATAAACTGGAAGACTGATGCAGGTTGTAAACTCCCGCTCGAAAGATCTAAGACGATGCGCTGATTACAAAATTTATGTTTTTGCTTGTGTCCAGCCATATCAAACAAATTACAAGTTGTTTGCCTTAAAACTAAGTCTTACATAAGAGTCGAGAACCTGGCTTGAGAAGACGACGGTGTCCGGCTTAAACATGTGGTAACTAAAGTCGGCAAAAATACACGTATCGTGCCACTTTCCGTAGATTCGAGACCTTTGAAACGACTGGTTAACATTCTGTCCCTTTGCCATTTTTTTCGATACGCCAATGGCTCGTTTGAATTTGGCCCTTCTGTGTTGTCCTCCCCGTCCTCCATGTCATCGCTTTCAGTTGCTATTTCGGATTCAATCGCCACGTTTTCCGGAATATGATTAAATTCCGAGTCATTGGAGAAGAAACTTTTGGCAGAAAAACAGGAAATATCGGACATAATGACACGAACCCATCACCGAAATAGCCAGGGAAATCACTAACTACAAAGGCCAATTGTTTGCATGATGAGAAAATGTGCTTACTACTGTGAAGTAAAGGCGCCCAGCCCCCTCTTGTTCGGCCAGACATTTTATCTATGGATTATAAAGCTTGATAAAAAATTCAGAAAACGGAAAAATACCTCTAATCTTGCTAAAACATGTTCTGGGGTCATGACATTTTGATGTAAAATAATAACAAAATAAGTGTCATGGGCACTTTAGAAAAGCTTTGAATGGGACTTTAGGCTCTGCTCTATAACTACGTAAATAATACAGCAAATATGCTTAACCTTCAGATAGTGTGGTTTGTGTTATTTTTGTTCTCTGATAACGATTTTAGGCCATTTCGTGGAGTTTTAGCCTTAAACGGGCAGTGGTGGGATGAGACCTGAGGTAACTCGAGGAAATGGCTTGAAATCGCTACCAGATAACAAAATAGAGCGGAGCCTAGACTCTCATACAAAACTTCCTAATATTATCCTCTGATAGAGAGTTTGGGCCTTCTTTGCTTTTACTGAGTTCATGAGACAATAAAAGCAGCTCCTCATATTTTATTTAATGAAATATTCCCACAATTCTCCCATATCAGCTCCCATAAGTGTCGTTTGTCCCTTATTTTCATTTTTGAACAACTCCATCGTAGGTGCAACTTCTGCGAACCAAAACAAGGACGCAAGTGTTGATCAGCTTCGCTTTGCGGCAAGAAGAGGAGATGTCTCCGAAATTGAATCCCTACTTTCTCGTGGACTTTGTGTTGACTCTAGAAATATTTCTAAGCAGACGCCACTAATGTATGCTGCTGTGCATGGCAAGGTAGAGGCGGTGCAGTGTCTGATCAGTAAAGGAGCTGATCCGGATTCACGAGACAACAGAGGACGGAATTCATTACATTGTGCATCATATGGAGGTGGCGTTGGTGTCATTGAGCTGCTGGTCAGTCACTTGACTGATAATGAGCCAAGAGGTACCTCGGGTGAGACGCCGTTAATGATAGCTGCTAAAATGGGTCAGGTAAAGGCGGTACAGTATCTGATCAGTAAAGGAGCTGATCCAGCTTCATCAGACTACTCTGGATGGAATTCGTTACATTGGGCCTCAAATAGGGGTCAGGTTGATGTAATTGAGCTGCTGGTCAGTCACATGACTGATGTTGAGCCAAGAGGTGACCTGGGTGAGACGCCGGTAATGGTAGCTGCTCGTATGGGTCAGGTAATGGCAGTACAGTATCTGATCAGTAAAGGAGCTGATCCGGCTTCAACAGACGACTCCGGATGGAATTCGTTACATTGGGCCTCACGGGGTGATCACGTTGATGTTATTGAGCTACTGGTCAGTCACATGGCTGATACTGAGCTAAGAAATGGCTTAGGTGAGACGCCGCTAATGGTAGCTGCTAAGGAAGGTAAGGTAGAGGCGGTGCAGTGTCTGATCAGTAAAGGAGCTAATCCAGCTTTACGAGACAAAAGTGGACGGAATTCGTTACATTTGGCCTCATATGATGATCACATTGATGTCATTGAGCTGCTGGTCAGTCACATGAGTGACGTTGACTCAAGAGGTCTCTTGGGTCAGACACCACTAATGGTAGCTGCTAAGGAGGGTAAGGTAGAGGCGGTACAGTGTCTGATTAGTAAGGGAGCTAATCCGACCTCATCAGACGACTCTGGACGGAATTCGTTACATTGGGCCACGGTCAAAGGCAACAAAGACATTATTGACATATTACTTTCTTATGGTGTTGATATTGAGTCCAAAACCGAAGATGGTTTGACTCCACTTATGATGGCACGACGCCATGGACTTGAAGGGACAGTGAGATATCTTCTTAAGAAAGGAGCCGAGTCTCCAAGTCTGAATAAAGGAGAATCAGACAAGTTTTCCTTTACGCATGCTCAGTGAAGTTAGAGCTTCTCGAGTTGTCTCACACTGTTGTAGATGCCGATCGCGAATAGTTAAAATATGTGACCTTGTACCCAGGGCTTTTCCCTCTTTATGAAATCGGGGAAAGCTCTGGGAATGACTTGAATGATTGTTTTGATGGAAACCTTATGTTGGTACAGTTTCCTAAGGTAATATAAAATGATAGGCTCTATCGAGTGTGTAGAAAGTGACAGGTACAGTTTTACCTTCCTCACTGTGTGGAGAAGGCAATATTATGCTAATTTATATTCTAAGAGTATATACTACTTAGTATATACTTAGAGAACTTTTATGTAGAAACTTTGTCTTTCATTATCAAAGTAAATGTTAGTTGGACAGAAACTGATATCGGAGAATACGTTTTAAGTTTTCTTTGATCAGTTTGGAATTTATGGACAGATGTTTCTGTGAAAACTGATACAGTGCATTTCGAAATTATTACATTTTTGTTAGTAGAGGAAAGTAGATGTAATTATTTTTATGGGTATTTGCATAAATTAGTTCACGTTTAAAAAATTCAGCAAAAAGTAGTTTCATCTAGAAACAAACTGAGGGTCTTCACATTTTGTATTTTGGACAGTTTTTATTCATCCCATTTTGAAATATTTTGTAAATAATTTTTGAGTATGTGATGAGAGTTTAGATTACCTCAATAATTGATTGTAAGCAAAATTATCATAGCATTACCAAACTCAGTATTTTTATGCAGAATTTCAAAGTTGTGTTTATTGTTTTTGGGACTGAAGTTAAACTTACCTGAACTAGGCTACCACACATTGAAGTTGCTGTATTTCAAAGCTGTATTTCGTGTGATTAAGCTTTAGGAGATCAAGTTTGGCCTGTGAAAATTGTAGAACATAATGACTGTGATACAGTTATACCTGACATCAGTTTTGTATTGAAAGAACGATCTTTGTGACTTTCCCTTGGTGAAATATTTTAGAATAAATTTGCTTAGAGCTGTAAGGAAAGTTTGGTCTATAAAATGACAGGGTCTATGATTCATTTACTTTTGGTAGCTACGGACAGGTGGTTGAGTAATGTTTCATATCATTTATGATCTACCTCACCCACTTCTCAGAGTTGAGAATAACAATGAAGCAACAGCCTGTATCACGGCAGGACTTTAGATAGCGAGTTTTATTTCACTAAATTTCGTGAAGGGTTTCCGAGCAACAGTTTTCTCTTCCACGCGCGCGCTTTTATTGAAGCGCTTAGCGGACATATTCTTATTTGGGCCAATGCCATGACGTAAAAAGGTTACGAAAAACCCTACGGCCACGAGTGCGGTCCCTGCCCCCTTTTAGGGGGCTGCTGTCCTTACTTAGAAGATCATTATTCACTCTGGAAAATCAGATTTTTACTCATAAAAAATGTCACCCCTAATTGAAAAATGAATATCTTTGACAATGCTAAAAAGCATATCTGTAGCATTGATTATAAACAGATTTAGCTTGCGCTTTACTTTCAAACCTCCATCAATTTTCAGCTGTCTAAATAGGCCTTTAATTTTTTGAACCTCTCCATAACGAAAATTTCCTTCCAGTCCTACTATTAGCCCCAAGCGGATCTCATTACTAAGAAAACAAAATTTAACGTTAACTCACAAGCTGGTCGAGTCACTTCACGCCCACTGTTGTGTTTCCTGAAGGTTTTCTTTCTTAATACTTGAACTGTTTTTTTGTCTGTTTTGATAATATTTCCTCTTTATAAGCCAAGCTAAATATTTCCTCTTGTGAACATTAACATTGGGTGACTGGAAAGCACTTGTCAATAAGGTTAATGAACGCTCTGCCAATGTTGGTCTGTACGTTTCTGTTAACATTAACAGAAACGTACAGACCNCTTAGAGATGTTAGTTGTGGCAGATTTGATGGTGTTACAAATCGGTCGAGCGGGAGGTGGGCGTTGCGGTTTGTGGATTTTAGGTAAGAAATAGATATTTCCTGGTTGAGCGTTTTCCATTACCAGATACTCTGCTGTATTGGTGTTGATTACACCCTTGGAGTGGGCCTCTTGTACAGTTTCTTTTACTCTGATGACGAAGTCAGACGTGGGGTCGCTGGCCACATGTTTATATACCTTGTTACCGTTTTCATCAGTACCATTTAGTTGCTTGTAAGCTTCTGTTAGATAGTCCCCTTTGTTTTACACTACTACTGCTGCGCCTTTGTCAGCTTGGAAAATAACAATACCACTGTCACGTTTAAGCGATTTAATAGCTTCGCGTTCTAGCCTAGTGATGTTAGAACGTTGCGCGTTGTGGGGCGCGTGTTGCAAGATGGCACGTTCTACTCCATTTAAATAGCAGTCTAAGGCCAGATCTCTGCCCGGAGATGGCGTCCAATTCAATGGTTTCTTGTAGGTGTGGTCATCGTCAAGCTCTGTGTTACTATTGTCGTCATTACCGAAGTATTCCCTGATGCGCATTCGGTGACCCCATTGTTTGATGTCAGTAACGAGTTCAGTTTTGTTTGCATTTGTCGGCGTAGGGACAAACTTCAGACCTTTACTCAGGATCCTGAGCTCGTGCTCCGATAATGTGCGGTCCGAGAGATTGATAGCATTTTCGAAGTTGTTATAATTAGCTCGTGGTTTCGTATTGCGTCTGCCACGGTGGGTCCGTCTGTGATGTTTATGATCTGGTGAATGGATTGAATTCACGGGTGTGAATTGGCCGGATGCAATTACAGGATTATTACCCTGGTTGTCACGTCCAGTTGTGTTGTTGATCTGACTAAAGGCCGAGTTTGGAGGTGTGTGGTGTACATTATGTAATCTACCAGTGTGGGTTCTGCGTTTAACTTGATGATTTCCATGCATCAGTGGAGTACATTTTTTACGGTTTAGCTGTGCTTTTTTCGGTCCTGGGCGATTGTGTGATGTTGAGGCCGATGAAGGTGACGTAAACGAATAAGCATCCTGGGGTCGATAATCATTACATGTAGGTATGGGTAATGAAGGTGTTTTGTGTTTACTTACTTTAGACTTTTGCAGGGCAATGTTTTGGTGAAGTTTCTCCTGTTTTCTTGAGGTCAAGAATCGATGAGTATTCTCATTTTGAAGCTGAAGCCAGTGTTTAAGTACTTGAAGTTGTGACGTTGACAATTTATCGATTAGGGTATTTTCTTTACTCTCGATTTGATTTCTCAGTGTAACCCTTTTAGCTTTGTGTGATTTAACGAGGAGGTCAATTAAACCGTTTGAGCACTCCTTAGTAGCGTCATTCCAATTATCGAGGAGGTTTGCAGATCCGACAAGTGGTGTTAATTTTACAGTTAGACCCGGTGGTATAATGTCATGGCTCTTGTACAGTAAGAGAAAATGTTGATGGAGCTCACTCGATATTAATTTTCTGTGTAGCCGATGTAGTTGCCAAACAGCTTTGGTGCACTCAAAGGGAAGCCCTTTCGGAAGTGTCGACGTGGGGCTAGGGTTAAGTTCCGCATCACCACTCCCAATTAAAAATAAGAGTAATGTAGAGCTGTGATATTTCCGGTTTGACTTAATATGAAGTAGCGGTGGTAAACTGAAGGTTAGACCAAGAAATCTACTACGATAAACGGTAGAACGAAACCACGAGAATATAATCTGTTGGTTGTTGTGGTCGGTAGGGCTGTGTAGATCTGGAGTGCAGTCTCCTTTATTAAGCCGCAGAGTGCATGAAGCAAGGATAAATATGAAGGACGTAAACAGAGTGACTCTTGACGGAAACATGTCGACACGAATCTTTTTCTTTGAATTTTTTCACGGCTTGTATCAATAACAAGATGGTGTATAGATCAGCAGATCACAAAACTCGCGATCGAGTCTGGAGACAGTTGTATTCAGAAGTAGAAGCTTGTAAGGGGTCCCACAAACAATGCTGATCAGTCTCAAACGTGCTGCCTGGAGGATCACTGAAGCGATCGTGGGCTCTTGAAATAACGTAAATAAAAGCAGAAATGTAATGGTCAAGAGGCCAACTCCAATGTAGCTCTGTTGGTTTATAACCAAACTAGCGGAATGAGATCATCATCTACTAAAAAGTGCTCAATAGCAGGGCTAGAGCTATGGATAATTATACTTTAAGATTTAGGGTATTTGAACTTTTACTGCAACTCTGAGTTTCATGCCTCTTGCCAACAAATCGTCAGGCAACTGCCAGCAATAACGGTTACAATCCACCCATTGCTAAATAGTAGTGATACCTTATCAAGTAGGACGATTTGGCGATCATCTGGGGGGATGTTCATGTAGTTAGACGCGAAGTCGAGGGCACGTCTGAGTAGATCTTCCGTTATTGAGGGATAGAACTCTACAACATCGAAGCTGACGAAAGCAGATTCACATTTATTTGGCAAGTTCTTGAACCACTGCAGCACAGAGGATATGTTCTTCCATTGATTAACCCCTGTTGCGTTTACAAGTTTCTGGTTAATATTTTCGAGAATTTTCTAGCTTATTTTTCCAATTTCCTGTTTTGATGGGTTGATCAAACGACAAGTGGGTCAGTTTAAGAAATTGCCTTTATCGTCTTTAAGTGTTACGAACGCTTCCCTCTGGGCTGTAACTTCTACCTGGTCGTCAATACCTAGCTTTGGCTGCGGCGTAAATGAGATCCCATAGCAGAAGAAAAATTCCAACGAACTTTTCGACGTCACCATGGGAGGTTATGATGAAGCGGAAACATGTGAACTAGTCGGCTGATAACTCTTATCACAGCTTGCGACTATACCAGAAATTAACATCGGACTTTACCGTGACGACGGCCTTGCAGTTATAAACCAGACACCCCAGAAAGGGGAGAGAATTAAGAAACAGATTTTCACGACATTTTCCCAAAACAACCTTAGAATTACCATCGCAGCAAACAAGAAAATCATCAACTTTGTCGATGTAACGCTTGACCTGACAATTGGCAGATTCGGACCCTATTCAAAACCAGCAACTACCCCTCTACACGTATACAGCAAGTCTAACCACCCACCTAATATACTAAGAAACATCCCCGAAGCAGTTAATAAAAGACTTTCTGAAATCTACTCTGACGAAGACATGCTTAACAAAGCCGCACCTCCCTACCAAGATGCGTTTCATAAGAGTGGCTACACATACAAGCTTAACTTCACTATACCAGAACCGCAACGACCGCAATACCAAACCAAAAGGCGAAGAAACATAATTTGGTTTAACCCACCATTTAGCAGAAACGTCTAGACCAACCTTAGCAGAGCGTTCATCGACCTTATTGACAAGTGCTTTCCAGTCACCCACAAACTGAGGAAAATTTTCAATAGGAACACCATTAAACTGAGCTACTCGTGCACACCCAATATGAAACAGATCATAGACGGGCATAAAAAAGCCACAATCAGGAACGCAAAAATGTCCGGAGAAAGCCGCCCCCAGAATTGAGCAACTGCAGAAACGAAAACAAATGCCTTTTAGGAGGGGAATGCTTGCAAAGCGAGGTTGTCTACCAAGCCACAGTCGCTACCAGGAAAGAAACTAAAACGTACGTTGGCCTAACAGCGACAGATTTTAAGACTAGATGGCGCAACCACCGAATGTCGTTCAACCACGAGAGACGGCCAAATGACACAGAGCTGAGCAAGTACCTGTGGAAACTCAAGGAGAAGAGGGAAGACTATTCGATATCATGGAAGATTATTGCTAGGGCTAGAGCATATTCCAATGTCACAAAACGTTGCAATTTATGCCTCACTGAAAAATTTTTTATTTTGTCTTATCCACATGAAGCCTCTTCAAACAAGCGAAGTGAAATAATATCCAATAGTAGACATCGGCGAAAATATATTCTCAAGTATTCTTAACGGTATTATCGGCACGCGCACGGTTTTCATTGTTTCCAAGATTTGAATATTTTAAACAATAGGGACCTTAAGCATCGACGACGTTGGAAGTCACGGACGTTCGCCGGAAGTGAATTATCAGCTGTCGT